GGTGCATGGATGGTGGACCTGGACCTCCAGGTCACTTCTTGGCACGTTCCTCTCCAGTTTTTCTGGGGCTAGCACGGTTGGTAATTACCTATGTGTACTTACCTAAGTGTAGTTACAGGATGAGAGCTACTCTCGTGGTGTCCCGTCTTCCCAGCACTCTTTGTCATATAATGCTTTGATTATAATTGTCATATTGTCATATAATGATTGTCATGTCATAATATGTCTTCATATGATTGTCATACAATGCTTTGGTGGTGGGGCTTCAGGTTTGCTGTTTTTATTGCATTCCCTATTTTGTGAAGGGCACTTTGTATACTCTTTGCATCTTTCCCGGATCTTAGTGCCCTGTCTGCGTCTGAGATTCGGTGTCTGGCCTACCTCGACGACTGGCTGGAGTGGGCTCCCAGTCAGTCCGCTTGTCTGCTCGCCAGGGGATGGTTCTTTCCAGATCGCTGGGTTTGGTTTCCTGGTGATCTGGAGGTTTTACCTTCTGTTTCCGTCCCGGGTTCGGACCTGGGCCTTGTTTCAGGCTCTTGGGGCCCCTCATTGTCTTCCCTCCAGAAGTGTTGCTGTGGCTGTGGTCCCGCCTTTGGCTGTTCAGGAGGGGGTCCCGGGTTGCTCAGCGGTTGCTTGGGCGGTTGTGCGGGAGTTTGCACTTCGGCGTGCTTGTCTGCCCGCGGAGTCGGGTTTCGCTCCGGCGTCGGTTGGTTCCTACGGAGACTCCACTTCCGCCTCTTGCATTCCTTGGGTTCCTCTGGGGATCTGGTGTTGGTGCTGCGTCACCAGCTTCCTCTTTGGGGTTTTCGGGGTTCCGTGCTTTGGCGGCTCCCCGAGCCTTCGCTCGATGTGTTCACGGACGGGTCGTCTCTCGGCTGGGGCTTTGTGACCAGTGCTCACCAGGTCGGCCGAGGTTGATGGAGTCTGTCTGTCCATCGGGCTCACAGCCCGGTTCAGGTGTTCATGGCTGTCTGGTTTGCGCTTCGGAGGGTTTGGGTCACTAGGTACTCTACCATTCAGCTCTGTTTGGACTGTTCTCTGGTGGTTCTTGCTGGAACCACAGGGGGTTTGGTTAACCGTGTGGTTCGTGTCTGGGGTGTGTCCTGCGTCCTGGTGGACAGCTGTCTCGGTTCATTCCTCTTCGTGGGTTGGCCAGTCGTCGCCGATTCGTTTTGTTGGCTCTGTTGGGCTTATGGACTCCTGGCCATGGACGTCTTCGGGTCGGCGTGGTCTAGGCGTCGCCCGTTTTGTGGCGCCCTTCCCACCTGCGAGGACTTCACGGTGGAGGCTTTCGGCAGGCCTGGTCGAGGTGGGGGGTACCTGTACCTCTTCTCCCGGTCCAGCTGTTGCTTCGGGTTCTGGCTCAGTTGCAGCCCATTCCCACGAGAACAGTCCTTATGGTTCCACTGTGGCCGGCCCAGCCTTCTTTTCAGACGCTGCTTGATAGGTGTCCGTACCCGGGGCGTTTTTCCTGAGGCTTCGCCTCTTTCAGCAGGCCGAATCGGTCCTGTCCGTGACTGGTTCGGCCTTCTCTTTGGCTCTTCGCGTCTGGTATTTTGACGCAGGTATCGCCATCTCTATGGTGTTCAGGTGGCTTTGTTGATGGTGTCCCACCTGCGAGCTTCGTCTTGGAGACTGTATGACGTTTATTACGTCTTCTCGCGTTTTGTTTCCCCTCCGGCCTGCTCATGAGTCGCCTGAGCCATCCTGGTCCTTGTTCAGGGTGCCTTCTTCTCTTCCCCTCCGTTTGTGGTAGCCCCTTCGGTTTTAGTTTCCTCCTCTTTGGTACTGGTGGTAGCTTTATTGGTGTGCAGCCTTTCTCTGTCCTGGCGACGGTCGAGACGGCTGCTTTCCGGAGGGGTTCTTGGGGTATTAGTACTTGTTTGGTTTGGCCGGGGGGTGCGTCCTGTGTTGTCCAGTTGTGCTTTTTGCTGTTGCTGGCGTACCGTTCCTGGGGATGCGCTGTGGTTGATCCGGTTCCTTCGTTCCCTGTTTTCAGGGCTCGGGTCTCCCGGGTCGTCCGCAGTGTTTTCCTTCTTACTGCGGTCTGTCTTTGCGCCCGTGCTGTTCAGACGTTTGCAGCAATTGCTGCTGTGTTGGTGACGTCTCGGGCTCATTTCGGGCGCAGGGAATTGTGGGTCGCACAGGTTTTTGGCCGCCCATCCATGTGTGCGTCTGTTCTTGGGCGTTCTTGTTGCCTTGGGTCGCAGGTTTGCGACCGGTTGTCTTGGCTTTGCGTTGCAGAGTTTGTGGCGGCCGCCTCCCGGGTTAGCCCTTTCTTTTCCTTCTCTTTGGGTATGAAGCTCCAGGGAGCCGTAGGGGCTCCCCACAGAAAACCAGCGTTGAATGTAATGAAACGCCATTTTCTGGGTGAGCCCCGGAGGCTCCCTGGAAACCCTCCCTCCCACCGGTCGGCGGTTTTTTCGCGTTGGTTGAAGCTTAGCTTCCGAACTGGAGCTTGGCAGCCGGCGCGGTAGGTCCGGGGCTCCCCCCTCCCCCTCCCGGGGTGGGGAGGGCTGCGCGGACGATCGGCGCGGCAGTAAAGTGTGATGTTTGCTTGTTTGCTTGTTTCCTTGGGATTGTAGGGAGTTTTCTACCTCTCTGTTCGGTTTTTGTTGTAGTTTCTTACCATGTGGGGTTTGTTTTGTTACGCCTACCTTTCTGGGTGCCTAACCCCGGTCGATGGCAGATAAGGAAAACCCCCAACCATATGGGGTTTTCCAGGGCCATTGCTCCCTGAAACCTCTCTGAAGGGGCCAGGTTCTGGCGCTGGTCCCTGGTAGGTCTGAACTCCTTAGCTAATGTCCCGGTCTAACATAACACACATTAGCCCGATAAGCTCCAGGGAGCCTCCGGGGCTCACCCAGAAAATGGCGTTTCATTACATTCAACGCTGGTTTTTTGTTGCTACCAATAACAAAACCTTTATATGATTTCACCAAGCAGAGGATAGCATGTCCATAGCTTCCTTTCCTATTATTTTTTTCCAGAGTTTGCATGATATCATTAGTTGGTAAGTTGACCCTGGGTTTCAGCCAAGGCACTTCAACTCAAGTCATGTACGTAATTTAGCACACTGAGTACTCTGTTACTACATCCAAGATGATGGCTTCACTTGTAAGCTTTCTACAAGCTAAATAAGGTTACCCTGATCTTGTAACCTAACCCAATATTGTATATGTGCCATTTCAGTGTCTAGACTAGGTGATAACCTAGTCTAGACACTAATAACTTGATGGAAGTCTCACCTGAATTTGTACTTCATGGTCCCATGCACCTCAGTGCACAAAATCTCCATTCATGATGATTGTGCACACAGATGAGAAATCCCCCCAACACCAAAACCACAGCCACAACTCTTCGGGTTTTCCGGGGTTCGGTGTCTTGGCGCCTTCCGGGACCCTCGCTTGTTGTGTTCATGGATGCCTCGTCTCTTAGCTGGGGCTTTGTGACCAGTGCTCACCAAGTCGGCCAGGAACAGTGGGTTCCATCGGGCTCACAACACGGTGTTAGAATTTGTGGCGGTGTGGCTTTCGTTGTGGCAGATTCGGCTAACTCAAGACTCTATGATCCAGTTCCATTTGGACTGCACCCTGGTGGTTCATTGTCTGAACTGCAGGGGGTTTCTTCGGTCCTAGGCTCATTGGGGCTGGTCGGTTCAAGTGGCTCTTGTGCTGAGTTCTCGGGGTTTAGCTCTCCGTGCGCTTACCATGGACGCACTTTGGGTTGATCCGATTCCCCTCATTTCCTAATTCCAGCACTCGAGTCTCGCAGGTTGCCCGCAGGGCTATTAAGTCTAGCCAGCCTGCGGTCTACCCTTGTTTTGCATGACGTTCGTAAGTATGCAACTTTGACTGCAACATGTTTGGCAACATGTCCTGGGCTGACATTCGGGTGCAGAGGTTGTAGAGGTCGAACAGGGTCCTGGCCACCTGTTATTTGGTAAATGTTCCTGGTCCCAGTTGTTCATGTGTGGGGTTTGGGTCGCAGGTTGCAGCCAGTTGTCTCGTCCTCGAGTTGATCCTGTACAGTAACGAAACACCATTTTCTAGGTGAACCCCGGAGGCTCCCTGGCACACTACCACCCTCTAGTCGACAGTTTCGTTTATGGATATTCAGCCTCCAAACTGAGGTGAGGGGTCGGCGTCTTGGTCTGAGGCTCTCCATTCCCCTTCTGGGGAGGGAAGGGCTGCGCGGACAAACTGCACGCTGGCAGTGAATGACAATTGCTTGTTGGCTGGTTTCCTTTTTTTCTTTTGGAGAGTTCTATTTCTCTGTTCGGTCTTGGGTTTTTACAATTTCTACCATGTGGGGTTTGTTTTGAGATGCATACCTTTCTGGGTGCCGAAACCCGGTCGATGGCAGACAAGGAATACCCCCAAATACAAGGGGGAGGGGGTCTCCTTAAGCCATTGCTCCCTGTGCCTCTCTGAGGGGTGCCAGGTTCTGACTCTGGTCTCTGGTAAACAGGACTTCAGTGACTGAAGCCCCAGACTAATATAGTGTATATCAGCCTGGATAGCTCCAGGGAGCCTCCGGGACTCGCCCAGAAAATGGCGTTTCATTGTATTCAACACTGGGCTTTTTATGACACATTGTTAGTTGCTTATTATTGTAATGTGAGGTTGATGGAGTCATACACCTGGCAGTGAGTGTTTGGGGGGGGGGCGACTGCAGCTCTATTCTGCTATTAAATACTGTTGAAGAATAAATTAGTACAGAGGTTGGAGTGGTGGGTGGGGAACTAACATCAGGGAAATGGAAGTTTGAGATCATCCTTATAATTGGTTCCAAAATGGTATAAAAAGAAAGAGAGCAAGTTAGGGAGTTAATTAGTGTGTGTGTATGTATGTATGTATGTATGTATGTATGTATGTATATTTGTGTGTTTCTAGAGACTTGACTATCCTGACAGCTTCCTTGGAGGGGAAGCTGTAAGGAGAACATAACTTTAGTGATATTATATAGATATGTGGATAATATATTGTTTATTTGGATAGGTTGGTCCCCTTGGCCAGCCCCCAGAACTGCCTCCGATGGATAAACTCCTGGACTTGAGCAAGGTGAAGGTGGTCTCGAAAGCAACTCTGAACTATGATGACTATAAGCCTGTGCAAGCCATAGTTAAGAAAAAGGTTTGTAGTCAGTCTGTTTGTGTCAACCATATTCTGTTGTTCCCGGGACGATGGGGCACACAAGCGTATCAAGAATAACTTGGTAATCTATCAATTCATTGAGAAGAAAAGTCAGATATTATTATCAAGTTGTTTGAATGCTTCATGTTGATTGGTTTTATTCATATTGAGACATGCATATTTAATCAATCTTATAGTCTAATATTTATCTTTTCACTTCAGACCCATTACCATTAAAACATTTCTTAGCAATGACAGGGCAGTCTTCTCATCCTCATGCCAATTTTGTGCTCTGATTCTTCCTTCAGTGTGTGCACTATACATTTACATCACTATGCTAACTGTATATCTTTCTCTGTATTCTCTATGAGCATCTTCATCTTTTTCTGTGTGATTTCTGTTTGTATGTTCATATTTCTCAGTGTATTGACTATACATCTCCGTCATCTATTGTAGCATGCTCACTATGCATGTTCTTCATCTTTCTCAGTGTACCCGCTGTAATTCTTAGCGTGTGTCCACAACACCCATTCCTTGTTAGGTTGAGGGGTGCTGGGTCATGAGTCCTCCCCTCAGCTTTGTGTAGTCATCGTAACATGGTTGGACTTGGGCATGGGCAAATTAACCTTCTTTTCAGTGAGTGTGTTGGTTGTTCTTAGTCCTGAAGCAAGAAACATTGGGCCTGTGGTTCATTCTTGGCCTCTTGGGATTGAACAGCTTCATTCGCTGTTACTTGAGTAGTTGTGTGGGAGCTTGAACATCGCCTGCATAGTTTTTCCTCAGGCAAAGTGTGGTTACGGTGGCTGTTCTGGTGACTTCGGTTCGGTTCCTTTTACCATCACCGCAATCATTTAGGTGTTGGCTCTGTTGGCCCTTCACTGCTACCTGTTGGGTACCATAACAGGTAGTCAACAGGTAGCCCTCCCTTTCATTGGGCTTTGCAGGACCAAAGAGCCAGAGCTCAACCCCCTGCAAGCACAACTAGGTGAGTACACTATGGTGCAGGATTATGAGAACTTTCGTAATCCCTGGATTACAGATTTTGAGAACTTTCAAATCCAGGGATCCCATCACAGTGGTTGTACTCTTCAAGTCACTTGTGTTGTCCTGTCTTGAGTACTGCTCAGTACTCACTTCCCTTCAGAGCAGGAGAGATTGCTGAAATAGAGGGAATACAGAGAACATTTTTGGCATACATAGACGCAATAAACCACCTAAATTATTGGGATTGTCTCAAAGTTCTCCAAATGTACTCACTAGAAAGAAGACAAGAGTGATATCAAATAATATACACCTGGAAGATACTGGAGGGCCAAGTACCAAATCTTCACAGTAAAATAACAACGTACTGGAGTGAACGATATGGAAGAAAATGCAGAATAGAACCATTGAAGAGCAGGTGGTGCCATAGACACAATCAGAGAACACTGTATGAACATCAGAGGTCCACGGTTGTTCAACACCCTCCCAGCGCGCATAAGAAATATTGCCGGAACAACCGTGGACATCTTCAAGAGGAAACTAGATTGTTTCCTCCAAGGAGTTCCGGATCAACCAGGCTGTGGTGGGTATGTGGGCCTGCAGGCCGCTCCAAGCAACAGCCTGGTGGACCAAACTCTCACAAGTCAAGCCTGGCCTCGGGCCGGGCTTGGGGAGTAGAAGAACTCCCAGAACCCCATCAACCAGGTATCAACCAGGAGTTTGCGGATGTGTGGCATGTGCTGTGGAGTGTTTGGATTCCTCCAGGCTTTGTGTTCTGGCTCCATTTGCACTGTTTCCCGTGGTTCATAACCACAACTGAGTGGGTAAGAGGGTGCACTTCAATCCTTAGCCCTTTGAAACTAGAGGTTTCAATCCTTTGCAGCCAGACACTTTGAATAACTTTTCTAGGTTCTCGGGGTTTGGCATTCTGACACTTTGGCACGTTAAGGGACAGTCCCTGAGCGTGTGGTTCACGTTCAGGAAATGTCTAACATTGTTGTAGACAGTATCTTCATGGAGGGGACCATCTATGCCCCTCCTTCCTTTGGCTTTGCAAGATGTATTGATGCCCTGAGGTGGACCTGTTTGCATTGGTGTAGGATCAGTGCCTTCCTCTGTATGTTGCTCCGTTCCCCGATCGCGAGACCCTTGCAGTGGATGCCTTTCAGCTGGGTTGGTCAAAATGGGGGTTATACCTCCATCTCAACCAATGGAGAGCCTATAGCCTACAGAGACTATACCTTGTTTTGTGGCTCTGCCTTTATTGGAGGTGACGTATTTCACTGGTTCGAACTTCTCAGCTCTTTGCATCTGGAATTTTTTACACTTTTTATCTCCAACTTTTCAGTGAGCTGGTGGGTTATTTGATGGTGTCGCATTTGTGTTACTCATCTAGTCAACAGGATAAGGTTTTGTGGTGCTCCTCTTGACATTTCCTCTCCGTTGTTATTCTTCGGTTTCCGAGCGTGTCATGCTCTCCTTTCTTTCCGGCCTTTTTCCCGATCGGCATCTTCGTCTTCTTCTTGAGGTTATCTTGAGATGATTTCCGTCCCTGCGGCCCGATCCTCGACCTGGCCTCCTTTTTGTTACACCCCCTCAGGAAGCAGCCTATAGCGGCTATCTAACTCCCAGGTACCTATTTGCTGCTAGGTAACAGGGGCATCAGGGTGAAAGAAACATTTTGCCCATTTGTCTCCGCCTCCACCGGGGATCGAACCTGGGACCTCAGGACTACGAATCCGAAGCTCTGTCCATCCAGCTGTTAGGCGCCCTAAATCTTGTGTAGAATACTGTCACCTTGTATCGTGCAGTGTTGGTAGAGCTGCTGCAGCTTGCATTTAGTGTCGATATTACCTCGGCACGGTTTCACAGGCTGTCTTGCACCTTGTTTCAGCTGTGGCTTACTCTTGTGCCACCTGACCCTGTACTGTCTTTAGTCCATGTTCTTGCCTTTCTTTCCTCTCCTCGATTTACTGCTGCCCCCCCTCCTCTCTCCTACGATCTGATTCTTTTTTCCAAGGCATTGTTTTTGGTGTCTCTTGCCCTCCAATTGTTGGGTTGGGGAGCTTTATGCTGTCCTCGGAGGGGCAGTTTCGGTTCTTTTGGCTCTGGTCTGGTGGGCATTTTGTTTGTTTGCAGCCAACTCCTTCTCATTTGGCAAAAAAAGAGTTAGTTGACTTCTGGAAGGGCCATTTGGTTCTTGATGCTTGGTGGGTTTGGCTGGAGGAGGAGCATCATGTGCCATCTGGTAGGGGCTCTTTCGCTACCTTCGTGCCACAAATTCTTCTTCAGTGGATGCTTTGTGGGCTGATCCTGTTTCCTGGGTTTCCTGTTCCAAGGCACATATTTCTCAGGTCATCCACAGTGTTGTTATGATGAGCCAGCCTGTGGTTTACCCCTCATGCCCATGATGAGAAGTATGCTGCTTTCACAGCTATGTTTGCTAATATGTCCTGGGCCAATATTCAGATACAGGGTTTTGGAGGTCTAACAGGGTTCTTGAGGCCCAGTATTTAGTGAATGTTCATGACCCTCTGCATCCTTGTGTGGCTTTGGGTTGTGTCTCATGTTTGGGGTGTCGTCATCATCCTGACTCCTGCAGTTCTCCCTCCTCCCTGGTAAGTTCCATGTGTTCTTCCTCCTTTGTGAGTGGTTAGCTTTAGGCAGCCACAAGGGGGGCCTGCCCTCAGAGAACCAGTATTGTGAGTGGTTAGCTTTAAGCAGCCACAAGGGGGTCTGCCCTCAGAGAACCAGTATTGTGAGTGGTTAGCTTTAAGCAGCCACAAGGGGGTCTGCCCTCAGAGAACCAGTATTGTGAGTGGTTAGCTTTAAGCAGCCACAAGGGGGTCTGCCCTCAGAGAACCAGTATTGTGAGTGGTTAGCTTTAAGCAGCCACAAGGGGGGCCTGCCCTCAGAGAACCAGTATTGTGAGTGGTTAGCTTTAGGCAGCCACAAGGGGGGCCTGCCCTCAGAGAACCAGTATTGTAAGTGGTTAGCTTTAAGCAGCCACAAGGGGGGCCTGCCCTCAGAGAACCAGTATTGTGAGTGGTTAGCTTTAAGCAGCCACAAGGGGGCCTGCCCTCAGAGAACCAGTATTGTGAGTGGTTAGCTTTAAGCAGCCACAAGGGGGGCCTGCCCTCAGAGAACCAGTATTGTGAGTGGTTAGCTTTAAGCAGCCACAAGGGGGGCCTGCCCTCAGAGAACCAGTATTGTGAGTGGTTAGCTTTAAGCAGCCACAAGGGGGGCCTGCCCTCAGAGAACCAGTATTGTGAGTGGTTAGCTTTAAGCAGCCACAAGGGGGGCCTGCCCTCAGAGAACCAGTATTGTGAGTGGTTAGCTTTAAGCAGCCACAAGGGGGTCTGCCCTCAGAGAACCAGTATTGTGAGTGGTTAGCTTTAAGCAGCCACAAGGGGGGCCTGCCCTCAGAGAACCAGTATTGTGAGTGGTTAGCTTTAAGCAGCCACAAGGGGGGCCTGCCCTCAGAGAACCAGTATTGTGAGTGGTTAGCTTTAACCCCTTAACTGCGTTGCCTCCAAATGTGACACCCCCGCAGTGCGCAGGAAATAAATTCTCTGGAAAAAATTATTTTTTCTTTTTAAAGTGTCAAAAACCCTTCCCTCAGTATGGGTATGTAAAAAAAAAGTCGAAATTGTACTTACTTTGGCTGCTATGGGGTCCGGAAGTTGGGGCGTGACGTCATCATTCCCCGTGCGCCCGTGCCGTAAGCTCTCGGGAGCGGTGGGGCACTCAGGGCGGGGCGCGCGAGTTGCCGCGAATATATTTTCGTTCATTTTTTGCGCACCTTTCCAAACACATTTTCATTGTTTTTATGTGCCAATCCAATGTATAATGAACACGTACACTATAATATCACAGTACAAACTCCGTACTGTCCGTAGACACTGTGTTACGTGCATGAAACTTGTGTGCACATATGCAGCACATATTTACTATGTATCACGCTAATTTGTGTATATATACAATCTATTTACACACTATACACTGTCACACACTATATACATTCACTATCAACACATTCAGAACACCGCGTAGCAGCTGCTTCGTATGGGCCAATATCAGCTGCCTCGTATGGGCCAATAGCAGCTGCCTTGTATGGGCCAATATCAGCTGCCTCGCATGGGCCAATAGCAGCTACCTCGTATGGGCCAATATCAGCTGCCTCATATGGGCCAATAGCAGCTGCCTCATATGGGCCAATATCAGCTGCCTCGCATGGTCCAATATCAGCTGCCTCGCATGGGCCAATAGCAGCTGCCCCATATGGTCCAATAGCAGCTACCCCGTATGGGCCAATAGCAGCTGCCTCGTATGGGCCAATAACAGCTGCCGCGTATGGGCCAATAGCAGCTGCTGCGTATGGGCCAATAGCAGCTGCCTCGTATGGGCCAACAGCAGCTGCCTCGTATGGGCCAACAGCAGCTGCCTCGTATGGGCCAACAGCAGCTGCCTCGTATGGGCCAACAGCAGCTGCCTCGTATGGGCCAACAGCAGCTGCCTCGTATGGGCCAACAGCAGCTGCCTCGTATGGGCCAACAGCAGCTGCCTCGTATGGGCCAACAGCAGCTGCCTCGTATGGGCCAACAGCAGCTGCCTCGTATGGGCCAACAGCAGCTGCCTCGTATGGGCCAATAGCAGCTGCCTCGTATGGGCCAATAGCAGCTGCCTCGTATGGGCCAACAGGAGCATTTGGCCATGAACACATTCAGAACACCTCGAGTGAGAGCAGCCACCTATTGCTATGGGCCAATAGCAGCTGCCTCGTATGGGCCAACAGGAGCATTTGGCCATGAACACATTCAGAACACCTCGAGTGAGAGCAGCCACACCCAGCCTGTCTCCCTCACTCCAACATCTTACTCGCCAACATTGCTCCTCCCACCATATTGTTATAGTTCTTATTACACATGTTCTATATACCTATCAACATGTTTTATTTACCAGAACTATGCAACTATGCCGGTATTGTGTCCAAACAGTACAGTGGCCACCATACACTGCATGAAAAATCACACAGCAGACGACGCTAGGATTACGTCACCTCCCTCACCAAAGTAGCTCCTCTCAACATTCTCCTGTTGCTGTTCTTTCACTATATATACCCATGTACATATGTGTTGCCCATAGCGAACCACTAAGCTAGTATGGTGAGCATAACAAGAGTGGCAGCCACACACACAATGAGGCTACCTCAATTCTCGCCCTCCCTCCCTCATCAAAATTCCTCCTTTCACAATACTACGCACAACGCTAATTATAACCACATTCCTGCTATTATCACAATCCTGGTAACTAATTCCTGTAAATGAATAATTGACCACACGTTTATTTTGAAAAGGAACGTAAGAAATCATTTGAAGATTCCTAGATGAACGAAATAATGCTGTGGTGCTGTGGCTAGCGCTGTGAACATCGTGAACAGCATTGAATCACTGACATTTGAACATTGTACCCAGTCATTATCACACTCAGGCTCTAATATAACACTATCATAGCTAAATAATACAAGTTATATATATATTTTGACATTATTAGGCGATGCTGTGGTCACATGCTGAACAGCAGTGCTGTGCGCTCATGCTGCGAGCGCCAGCCTTGGTTGCTCACACACTACTGAGGCTCCCACACCCGGGAATGTGGACCACGATTTTTTTTAAAGATGGCATCTGTTTACAAGAGCCCTGAGGAAGCTGATGTGAACCCCATGTAGCCGCGGGAGTTTTGAATGGAACGTGAAAAATACAAATACCCGGAGGCGCGTTGCGCAAACCAGACGTGAGCCTGCAGGCGCGTTGCGCAGTTTAAGGGTTAAGCAGCCACAAGGGGGGCCTGCCCTCAGAGAACCAGTATTGTGAGTGGTTAGCTTTAAGCAGCCACAAGGGGGGCCTGCCCTCAGAGAACCAGTATTGTGAGTGGTTAGCTTTAAGCAGCCACAAGGGGGGCTGCCCTCAGAGAACCAGTATTGTGAGTGGTTAGCTTTAAGCAGCCACAAGGGGGCTGCCCTCAGAGAACCAGTATTGTGAGTGGTTAGCTTTAAGCAGCCACAAGGGGGCCTGCCCTCAGAGAACCAGTATTGTGAGTGGTTAGCTTTAAGCAGCCACAAGGGGGGCCTGCCCTCAGAGAACCAGTATTGTGAGTGGTTAGCTTTAAGCAGCCACAAGGGGGGCTGCCCTCAGAGAACCAGTATTGTGAGTGGTTAGCTTTAAGCAGCCACAAGGGGGCTGCCCTCAGAGAACCAGTATTGTGAGTGGTTAGCTTTAAGCAGCCACAAGGGGGGCTGCCCTCAGAGAACCAGTATTGTGAGTGGTTAGCTTTAAGCAGCCACAAGGGGGGCTGCCCTCAGAGAACCAGTATTGTGAGTGGTTAGCTTTAAGCAGCCACAAGGGGGCTGCCCTCAGAGAACCAGTATTGTGAGTGGTTAGCTTTAAGCAGCCACAAGGGGGCCTGCCCTCAGAGAACCAGTATTGTGAGTGGTTAGCTTTAAGCAGCCACAAGGGGGCCTGCCCTCAGAGAACCAGTATTGTGAGTGGTTAGCTTTAAGCAGCCACAAGGGGGCCTGCCCTCAGAGAACCAGTATTGAATGTAATAAAACACTAATTTCTAAGTAAGCTCTGGTGGCTCCCTGATCCCAACCCTTCCCCCTCCCTTTCATGTCATCGGGTAGGTCTTGTTTGTGCATCTGCTCGAGAACTGAGAGCTTAGACCCCAGAGGTAGTAAGCCACCTTCCCCTCTACCCCTCTACCTGGGGTAGAGGTCGGGCAAACGAGCTTGTGCTACAATTTCACAGGAGCCGTGATGAGCGTTTGAACCTATGCACTGGGTGTTACCTGGCACAACTGCACCATGACATGGTCAAATTCTTGTGCACATGTTCCCTGAGCCTCTGTGGTGGTAGTTGGGGGGGGGGGCAGGTTCTGGCTCTGGTAGGCCTAAGAACCCCACAGCTGATGTGACCTGGTAGAGGGGAACCAACTCTATGTATAGCTTCAGGGAGCTATTGGGGCTCATCCAGAAATCAGCATTTCATTATATTCAATGCTGGTTTTCTTATTTTGGTCAAATAGTAAAGCTTTATGGGATTCTCGTGTATTGTCATTCATCCATTATCATCATCAAATGTTTCCACGTTTATTGAGTAGGGAGGCATCACCCTGGAGAAAAAGGGCATAATATAGCAAAACAAATCACTTACAAAAGAGAGATCATGTTTCGTTTAGGGGAAAGGAATTTTGAAAGGATGGGTTTCCAGCCCAATCCCTATCTTTACAATGCAGGGGATGCACAAGGCTGCTTGCACCACATAGGGGGGGGGGGTATTGCAGTTGCAACATGCCTCTGCAGACCTTGTTTATTGTTTTTATTGCAAATTACTTTTTAAATTGATTTCAGGTATCTAAGGAGACGTATGATAAATCGTGGATTGAGATGGAGATGTTAAAATATTATACAGACACTAGCATGGTGGCAGAGCTCAGCAAAGGCACCATGACTCTCCTGGTCAGCAGCAAGGGTGATGATGAACTCCAAAATGAGGTAAATATTGTTTATAATTTTGTCGGTTCTCTGTTCCTATATTCTTTCCTTTGGTATTTAGGTATCATTATATGGGATGTTTTGTGTGGGGAGCCCCCATCAGCTCCCTCAAACTATCTTACTGACCAAGTGCCATACTCCTTGAATGTCATCAGTCGCAGAGTCCTTTGTAAGCCTACCGGAGACCATCAGCTAGAACCAGGCCCCCTCCAAGGAAGAAATGGCTATGAACACTTTACATTTAAAGTATATCATTTTCCCATTGACCGAGGAAGGACCCAGAAAGATAGATGAATCAAAACAGACCATTGTCTGGTTGAAAAGTGCAAGCCATATCCCAGGCCTCAGTGCCTGGGATTTCATAGGGCATATTCACTCTACGGGCCCTGGACCCACCCCCCCTCCACCCGTGAACTCGGTCATACCATGATACTACTTCTGGGCAGACTCTCACTCTGGCTGACTTTGATGGTTCTACGTTGCCCCTTCACCTAGGGAGACGATCATCCGTCCTGCCACCATCATGATGCCTGGGGGTCAGGGACACCTGCTGCCTGGGGGTCTGGGACACCTGCTGCCTGGGGGTCTGGGACACCTGCTGCCTGGGGGTCTGGGACACCTGCTGCCTGGGGGTCAGGGACACCTGCTGCCTGGGGGTCTGGGACACCTGCTGCCTGGGGGTCTGGGACACCTGCTGCCTGGGGGTCTGGGACACCTGCTGCCTGGGGGTCTGGGACACCTGCTGCCTGGGGGTCTGGGACACCTGCTGCCTGGGGGTCTGGGACACCTGCTGCCTGGGGGTCTGGGACACCTGCTGCCTGGGGGTCTGGGACACCTGCTGCCTGGGGTCAGGGACACCTGCTGCCTGGGGATCAGGGACACCTGCTGCCTGGGGGATTGGGGACACCTTCTGCCTGGGTAAGGGGGGAAGTCTAGGACACCTGCTGCCTGGGGGTCTGGGACACCTGCTGCCTGGGGGTCTGGGACACCTGCTGCCCGGGGGATTGGGGACACCTTCTGCCTGGGTAAGGGGGGGAAGTCTAGGACACCTGCTGCCTGGGGGTCTGGGACACCTGCTGCCTGGGGGTCTGGGACACCTGCTGCCAGGGGGTCTGGGACACCTGCTGCCTGGGGGTCTGGGACACCTTCTGCCTGGGGGTCTGGGACACCTGCTGCCTGGGGGTCTGGGACACCTGCTGCCTGGGGGTCTGGGACACCTGCTGCCTGGGGGTCTGGGACACCTGCTGCCTGGGGGTCTGGGACACCTGCTGCCTGGGGGTCTGGGACACCTGCTGCCTGGGGGTCTGGGACACCTGCTGCCTGGGGGTCTGGGACACCTGCTGCCTGGGGGTCTGGGACACCTGCTGCCTGGGGGTCTGGGACACCTGCTGCCTGGGGGTCTGGGACACCTGCTGCCTGGGGGTCTGGGACACCTGCTGCCTGGGGGGTCTAGGACACCTGCTGCCTGGGGGTCTGGGACACCTGCTGCCTGGGGGTCTGGGACACCTGCTGCCTGGGGGTCAGGGACACCTGCTGCCTGGGGGTCAGGGACACCTGCTGCCTGGGTAAAGGGGGGGGGTCTAGGACACCTGCTGCCTGGGGGTCTGGGACACCTGCTGACTGGGGGTCTGGGACACCTGCTGCATGGGGGATTGGGGACACCTGCTGCATGGGGGATTGGGGACACCTGCTGCATGGGGGATTGGGGACACCTGCCTGGGTAAGGGGGGGTCAGGGACACCTGCCTGGGGGGTCAGGGACACCTGCTGCCTGGGGGGTCAGGGACACCTCCTGCCTGGGGGGGGGACTCCTGCTGCCTGGGGGGGTTAGGGGCTCCTGCTGCCCGGGGGGGGGGACTCCTGCTGCCTGGGGGGGGAGTCGGGGACTCCTGCTGCCTGGGGGGGGGGGGTCGGGGACTCCTGCTGCCTGGGGGGGTCAGGGACACCTGCTGCCTGGGGGGTCAGGGACACCTGCTGCCTGGGGGGGTCAGGGACACCTGCTGCCTGGGGGGGTCAGGGACACCTGCTGCCTTGGGGGGGGGGGTCGGGGACACCTGCTGCCTGGGGGGTCAGGGACATCTGCCTGGGGGGGTCAGGGACTCCTGCTGCCTGGGGGGTCAGGGACACCTACTGCCTGGGGGTCAGGGACTCCTGCTGCCTGGGGGTCAGGGACACCTACTGCCTGGGGGTCAGGGACACCTGCTGCCTGGGGGTCAGGGACACCTACTGCCTGGGGGGTCAGGGACACCTACTGCCTTGGGGGGTCAGGGACACCTGCTGCCTGGGGGTCAGGGACACCTGCTGCCTGGGGGGTCAGGGACACCTGCTGCCTGGGGGTCAGGGACACCTGCTGCCTGGGGGTCAGGGACACCTGCTGCCTGGGGGTCTGGGACACCTGCTGCCTGGGGGATTGGGGACACCTTCTGCCTGGGTAAGGGGGGGAAGTCTAGGACACCTGCTGCCTGGGGGTCTGGGACACCTACTGCCTGGGGGTCTGGGACACCTGCTGCCTGGGGGTCTGGGACACCTGCTGCCTGGGGGGTCTAGGACACCTGCTGCCTGGGGGTCTGGGACACCTGCTGCCTGGGGGTCTGGGACACCTGCTGCCTGGGGGTCAGGGACACCTGCTGCCTGGGGGTCAGGGACACCTGCTGCCTGGGTAAGGGGGGGGGGTCTAGGACACCTGCTGCCTGGGGGTCTGGGACACCTGCTGCCTGGGGGTCTGGGACACCTGCTGACTGGGGGATTGGGGACACCTGCTGCATGGGGGATTGGGGACACCTGCTGCATGGGGGATTGGGGACACCTGCCTGGGTAAGGGGGGGTCAGGGACACCTGCCTGGGGGGTCAGGGACACCTGCTGCCTGGGGGGTCAGGGACACCTCCTGCCTGGGGGGGGGACTCCTGCTGCCTGGGGGGTTAGGGGCTCCTGCTGCCTGGGGGGGGGGGGGACTCCTGCTGCCTGGGGGGGGGGGGTTCGGGGACTCCTGCTGCCTGGGGGGGTCAGGGACACCTGCTGCCTGGGGGGTCAGGGACACCTGCTGCCTGGGGGGTTCAGGGACACCTGCTGCCTGGGGGGGTCAGGGATACCTGCTGCCTTGGGGGGGGGGGGTCAGGGACACCTGCTGCCTGGGGGTCAGGGACATCTGCCTGGGGGGGTCAGGGACACCTGCTGCCTGGGGGGTCAGGGACACCTACTGCCTGGGGGTCAGGGACACCTGCTGCCTGGGGGTCAGGGACACCTACTGCCTGGGGGTCAGGGACACCTGCTGCCTGGGGGTCAGGGACACCTACTGCCTGGGGGGTCAGGGACACCTACTGCCTTATGGGGTCAGGGACACCTGCTGCCTGGGGGGGTCAGGGACACCTGCTGCCTGGGGGGTCAGGGACACCTGCTGCCTGGGGGTCAGGGACACCTGCTGCCTGGGGGTCAGGGACACCTGCTGCCTGGGGATCAGGGACACCTGCTGCCTTGGGGGGTCAGGGACACCTGCTGCCTTGGGGGGTCAGGGACACCTGCTGCCTTGGGGGGTCAGGGACACCTGCTGCCTTGGGGGGGGGGTCAGGGACATCTGCTGCCTGGGGGGTCAGGGACACCTGCTGCCTGTAGGGTCAGGGACACCTGCTGCCTGGGGGGTCTAGGACACCTGCTGCCTAGGGGTCTGGGACACCTGCTGCCTGTAGGGTCAGGGACACCTGCTGCCTGGGGGGTCTAGGACACCTGCTGCCTGGGGGTCAGGGACACCTGCTGCCTGTAGGGTCAGGGACACCTGCTGACTGGGGGTCTAGGACACCTGCTGCCTGGGGGGGTCTAGGACACCTGCTGCCTGGGGGTCTGGGACACCTGCTGCCTGGGGGGGTCAGGGACACCTGCTGACTGGGGGTCAGGGACACCTGCTGCCTGGGGGGGTCTAGGACACCTGCTGCCTGGGGGTCTGGGACACCTGCTGCCTGGGGTCTGGGACACCTGCTGCCTGGGGGTCTGGGACACCTGCTGCCTGGGGGTCTGGGACACCTGCTGCCTGGGGGGGTCAGGGACACCTGCTGCCTGGGGGTCAGGGACACCTGCCTGGGGGATTAGGGGACACCTGCTGCCTGGGGGATCGGGGACACCTGCTGCCTGGGGGGGGGTCAGGGACACCTGCTGCCTTGAGGGGTCAGGGACACCTGCCTGGGGGGTCGGGGACAACTACTGCCTGGGAGTGGGGGTGTTGGGGACACCTGCTGCCTGGGGGGGTGGTCAGGTACACCTGCTGCCTGGGGGGGTCGAGGACAACTACTGCCTGGGGGGGGGGTCGGGGACACCTGCTGCCTGGGGGGGGATACCTGCTGCCTGGGGGGTCAGGGATACCTGCTGCCTGGGGGGGTCAGGGACACCTGCTGCCTGGGGGTCAGGGACACCTGCCTGGGGGATTAGGGGACACCTGCTGCCTGGGGGATCGGGGACACCTGCTGCCTGGGGGGGGGTCAGGGACACCTGCTGCCTTGAGGGTCAGGGACACCTGCCTGGGGGGTCGGGGACAACTACTGCCTGGGAGTGGGGGTGTTGGGGACACCTGCTGCCTGGGGGGTGGTCAGGTACACCTGCTGCCTGGGGGGGTCGAGGACAACTACTGCCTGGGGGGGGTCGGGGACACCTGCTGCCTGGGGGGTCAGGGATACCTGCTGCCTGGGGGGGTCAGGGATACCTGCTGCCTGGGGGGGTCAGGGACACCTGCCTGGGGTCAGCGACACCTGCTGCTTACAGGGGGGGGTAGTCAGGGACACCTGCTACCTGGGGGGGGGACACCTGCTGCCTGGGGGGTCAGGGACACCTATTGCCTGGGGTCTGGGAAACCTGCTGCCTGGGGTGTCAGGGACACCTGCTGCCTGGGGGGTTGGGGACACCTGCTTCCTGGGGGGGAAGTCAGGTACACCTGCTGCCTGGGGGGTGTCAGGGACACCTGCTGCCTGGGGGGTCAGGGGACCTGCTGCCTGGGGGGTCAGGGGACACCTGCTGCC